ATTATGCATTTGCAGACGGCATCACGCTCGAAGCTGCCTGCTTTCAGCAGTACAAGCTTCCGCTTCATGCCGGGGCTGTCCTGAGGTCAGAAACTGAATGTCTCTGTTGTTGGTTTGGGGTGATAATATCCCTCTACTTGTTGAAGGTCCTGGCGATGCTCCCCACTGTCCAATATGCTGCAGTAAAGACAGCGTCTTATAACTCAGCGCTCAGGTCGTGAACAAAGTATCCTCCTCCCTCAGATACTCGCCAACATCACCCTGTCGGAACGCGACAATGCTGGTGGGCTCCAGCTTTCTCGCCTCTGCCGTGCTCCTTGCAGTAACGCCGAAGCCTAGCGGGGTATCGTCCATTGCGAGAATAACGACGCCCGAATGCTCAGGGCAATCTTCACTCCAGCGGCCCACATGCGCTTTTACAACATTCCCGCCATACAAAAACGGCATTTCACCATTCGGCTTGATCCATAGCTTGTAACGAGCGTGCGGAGCAATAACATCCAAGGCGGTGATGTGCAGGCGGAATTTGCCTGTCTTGGTAAATTTTCCAATGCAGGTGCCGAGGGAGAGGAGGTTGTCACGAGCAATAGAGGTGGCTAGATTTGCGATCGAGAGACGGACATAGTAGACGCGCGATTCATGCAGGCGGAAGACATAGCGGCCGTCGTTGTCGGAGGAGTCGCTCGGGGCAATGAGTTGGGTCAGGGAGCGGCCAGTGTAGTTTGCCAGTTTGGTGAAGAGAGTCTGCGTCTCGACATCGGTAAGTGGCCTCATCCTGACTCATTAGCCTCAAAGAAGGCGGAAAATTTTCTAACAGTACGTTCAGAACATATGGAGTGCGCAAAGACTGCGGACATCAAAATTGAGGCCGAAATAATTTTTTGCGGAGCGGCAGATCCTCGGGCCAACTTTTTTCGTTGGTGGCAGTTGACCGAAATTTGATTCTTTACATACAACATTTACTGAGAGCACAAGGTCTCTCGAAAGTGTAGCAATGCCTCACGGCCGTCCAATGAAGCGGAGACGCCTCTCTCCTCCCGTCGATGACAGCAAATCCTCCGAGACTATCAAGGCCTCCGACCTCTTCGTGCGCGCTGCAGATTGGGATCTTGAGCAAGAATACGAAAAGAAGTCGAGGCAGAAAAAGGCCAAAGAATCAACGCGACTGCCAATCAAAACTGCCGAAGGCAGACTTCAAAGGATAGAAGAGAAGGTACCAATTGAGAATGAGGACGACTCGGATAGTTTCCTGGGATCTGGCACAGACGGCGAAGACGAGGAGGGCGACACTCCTCCCACTGAGACAGAGCCTACCGTTCCGCAAGTCCCTTTGAAGCAGCAAATTGTCGCTGCCAAAGAAGAGATCGCACGCATTGCTGGCCTGCTGAATGAGGACCCGGAAGAACATGCGGGCTCCTTCAAAAAGTTGGCACAAGTTTGCAGTCCGACTTCGCCGATTGCGGTTCAAAAACTCGTCCTTGCGGCACAAACAGCAGTCTACAAGGACGTAATCCCAGGCTACCGGATACGGTCTTATAAGGATGAAGAACTGGGGAATAAAATCTCCAAGGACGTGCGACGAACCAGACAATACGAGCACGCTCTCGTGACAGGGTATCAAGCATACGTTAAGCAACTGGGCAGTCTTGCAAAGGCCCGTAAGGGCGATGCAGAGATACAGTCCTTGCGGAGTGTGGCGATCAACTGCGTATGCACTCTACTCCTCTCCGTACCACACTTCAATTTCCGGACCGAGCTGCTGAGTATTCTCGTCCACGAGATCGCCAGTCGGGAATCGTCACCCGACTTTATCAAATGCGTAGAGACATTTGAAGAGTTCTTCTCCCACGATGAAGACGGCGCGCCGTCCCTCGAAGCCGTCAACCTGCTCTCTAAGATGATGAAAGCCAAGGACTACCGAGTAAGGGAAGAAGTGCTGAATACTTTCTTCCATTTGCGTCTCCTGTCTGAGCTGCCACCACCTGGCTCAAATGACAAATCGGATCGGCCAGAACTACCGTCGAAGCTGCACGGACGCAAGGTGAAGCAACAGACCTCGCAGCATATGACCAAACGCGAACGAAAATTGCTCAAACAGCGCCGTGAAGTCGAGAAAGATATGGCCGAAGCCTCTGCGCTGGTAAACCATGAAGAACGTGAGAAGATTCAGTCCGAGACGCTAAAAATGGTGTTTGTCACATATTTCCGAATCTTGAAGGCGAGGGTACCCGAGCTCATGGGTGCCGTATTGGAAGGACTGGCCAAATACGCACATTTGATCAATCAGGATTTGTTTGGAGATCTCTTGGAAGCACTGAAGGAGATTGTGAGCGCAGCTGACGAGGCTGTGAGGGGCGAATTGGATATGGACGGAGTCGAAGCAGAGAGGACACCGACAAATCTGGACGGTGAGGCGATCCGCAACAGGAAACGCGAGGGCCTTCTTGCGACACAAACTGCATTCACGCTGCTCTCCGGCCAGGAGGTTTCCAAGGCCGCCTCAAACTTACATCTCGACCTAAGTTTCTTCACAGCGCATACCTACCGCTCACTGTACCCGCTTTCGCTGGATGCGGACATCGAACTTGGACCAAAATCGCTGCGTCTCCCCGATCCGCACTCGTCGAAACCAGCAGCATCATCAGAGAAAAATAGAATCAACATCTCCACGCCCATTCTCCTGCTCACGCGCGTGTTGACGTCTATCCTGCTAATGCCTTCGTCCCCACCACCCACGCAGACGGTGCTATCGTTCTTCAAACGTCTCTTGACCGTCTCCCTTCAACTGCCTGAGAAATCGACGATGGCAATTTTGAGTTTGATGACCAAGATCGCAGACAAACACGGCCGCAAGATTGAGGCCTTGTGGTATAGCGACGAAAGGAAAGGAGATGGGGTATATAGGGGAGACAGCGAGAGCGTGGAAGGCACAAATGCGTTGGGAACCGGTAGTGGGGTTTGGGAGGCAGAGTTGCTAAGGAGGCATTACTGCCCCAAGATCAGAGAATCGGTTCAGAGGATGGAGGGGGTTATTAGAGACTTGCACAGATAGCTGCGACTTCCAAAACTCGGCTGAGCGAATGGCACATGCTTCTTCGTATCTTGACATGTGTGTAACCATTAAAATTTCACATGTTCCTCCTGCGCCATGGTTTCGCCCTCCAGTCCAGGGAGAAGAACTTATATAAGGGTTGTCCACGCTTGTCTGGTCACTTGTTCCTGTATGATGTCGTTTCTTCTCTTCTAGTCCAATTTCCTCTCTCGGTGAAGGCGAAATTTCACAGGTCCCTCCATGTTAGGAAACCCAAAGACGCCATTCATGCCGCTCACTCGGCCGCAAGAGAAGGCCGTCGAGGTCGATACAGGGGCAGATCACCCAACACATCTCTCTTCGAGAAATCGGCCCTCGGTTCAACAACCTCGAGAGTTTGGAGTCTGGGATTTCTCTCATCGGCCACCACAACGCCACCTGTGGCTGAGGTTGTGTATGATGTGATGTCAATGGTCAATGGACGAGGGGCGCAGGGTGTAGGAGGGGGAGAGCAAGGCCCAGCTTTCGAACATCCCAACAAAATCCCGGAATTATCATCAAATGCACAATGCACATTTCAACATTCCACGCTTTGACATGTGCGTCTCTTTGCCCGCGCCAATCGACACACATGTCCGCCACCCTGGCGAGATCCAGATTGCTTGCATTGTGTGGCACACACCAACCTTTGCGGGCACCAAGCATGTGTGTTCTCCGGTCCTCAAAAGTTAATGCTCCTCTTCTGCATCACATCATGCCATTGACGCCTCTGATGCGTCTTGTCCCACTCGGCGTGCAAGAAACTGGCGAACTCTCTGGGCCTCAGGATCGTGGGCAGCTACAAGCTCCCCGGAAAACTGGGGGCTGTGTGTGGTATGACAGGTGGGATTATGTGACGCCTTGATTCTATTTCCAAGGTCAAACAAGGTCAAGGTCATGATCATGATTATATTGACCGCCTACCACCCTTTTCATAAAGGTTCCCACCTTGTGTTTCTCTGGAGGAGGCATTCTTCAGCTGGCCCTGAATCTATACATTCCATCCATCCCCGTTTCATCCACCGATCTAATCTCACCCACTCGCCTTCGCATGCACTCAAATTTCGGTCCGAGAAAAAAACACAAAAGCATCAGAGGATTTTGTGAGGGATCAACCGGGTATTGCCGCTCGTATACACCCTTGAGAGCTGACAATCTCCTGACTCTGCGATAACTCTATCTTGATCCCATTCCCATTTCTCGGATTTCAGGGTTTCCATACTTTCTGTGGTAACTCCGCGAATTTGGGATTCAATTGACTGGGTGGCGCAAACGATACTTGAACCCGTAAACCTGGATCTGACAGGTATTCGTCATTGGTATTCATCCACGAGGTACGTATAGATAGTTTACTTGGCTTTCCGGAATTTCGTTATCTCTGGCTATCTCTTCGATGGTGACGTCTTGTCAATTGGGGGTTTGGATCCCTGCAACTTTCTGTGTTTTCATCGGTCAACCGATTGCAGCAGCGATGTCCATGAATAACTGGTCAATGGAATTCTAGCTGCAGCTACGACAACGGGAACCGATCTTTTTCCTATCAGGTTGGTGGGATATCAAGAAGTATTGCTTGCTATACCCAGACCCAGAAAGAAACCATCACGAGCCCCAGGTCTATTTCAGTGCAAGTGTCCTGGCCAGAATTCCCTTCATGTGCTCCCTCTTGAAAGAGCTTGAAAGAGCCTTCGCCATTGTCGTCTTGGAAGCATGGCAAACAAACCAGTTTGATTATTTACTCCCTCGTTCATCATATCTTTGAGCTCTCACTGATTATGATGTTCTTTCTGATCTAGTGAAACCCAGACACCTCACCTCTCCAGGCTCTGTTACTCTCCATCCATCGCTTGTCAACTAAACCTGTCCAAACAGAACGGCACTTTTCGCGAATCCCTCTGCACACGAACTACATCATTCGCGTCAACTCTTCGCAATGGTGTCAACCACAATCACTTTCAAACAGGACAACCTCCAACCGCCCGTGTACGTCGCCGGCGCGTTCACGGGCTGGTCGCCGATCGAGATGAGCTTCGAAACGACCGAATCAGACGGCTCTCCCCAAAACGTCTTCTCGTACAAGGCTGACCTCGAGCCCGGCGAATACCAATACAAATTCAGACTGGGTCCAGGTGATTGGTGGGTCCTGGATGAATCGAGCCCAATAGGTACGTACTGGTCTCGCTTAAATCTTCTCTACGAGTATTACCAAGCGATATATTGCTGACGATGACTTGGGTTCCCAGCAAACGACGACCAAGGAAACGTTAACAATGTCGTTTCCGTCGAGGCACAAGTTCCGAGACCCATTGAACACATCTCCAAGCCCATCGCCACAATTCTCAACACAAAGGACGCTCACATTATCGAAGATGAGCATGATCGTCAGCACGAGAACAGCCTCGCATCCGCGCCCGAAGCTGTTGAGAATTCGAAAGAGTCTCAAAATTCGAAAGACCAGGTTCCGACCTGCGGAGAAGATGCCGGAGCCATCGATGCGAAGCAGGCCCACGACGTTGATCACGGCGTGAGGAAAGATTCCATCCCAGATTTCGCTCCACCGCCATACTCGATCGCTACAAATGGGACCGTATCGCCGCCTCCTGTCGTCCCTAACGAGAAACAACCTGTCAGGCCAGCCCCTAGTGGTAAGGAATCATCCATTTCGAGTTTCTTCAATACGAGGTAAGTTGAGCCCTTTACGGTCGTCGAGATATATGTACCTAGGAAGTATCTGACCCCATCCCTGCAGAAACCTCGTGCTCATCGTCGCAATTGTCGTCGTGCCTGCCGCCGTGTCGCACTACCTGCGGCGGTAGCGTGCCGAAACTCGGTAGTCTGCAGCATACGCAGCTTTGAGGTGGTTGGGAAACGCTTAATATCAGTTCCTTTCTCTCTCTCTCTCTATTTTATGTTATGATGGATCACGTTGAATAGGATACAAATGCGCTGTGAACGGTGGACGGCGGGCGGTAGTATTGAATTGACCTCCTTACATTGGTGGGCTTTGTGTTATGGGCTATAGGGTCATGGATTATGGCTTTTCGTGACTGTGGGCATCTTCGTGTTTAGCGGAAAACGTGCGAAGGTATAAAAATGGACATTCTTTCAATTCATACTACAACTACTCGGTTATTTTGTTCTTGCTGTTTCACACTTCCTCTAGGATCAAGTCAAGTCAAGTCTTGGAGAGCGTTGTCCTGACAGAAGAGATTCATGCGCGGGTGAGTAGGTGAGTAAGTGAGTATCTAGGGGCGTTCTCTTCCCAAGTACCTCCCGAGGAAATGAAAGCAGAAAGCATGGTCCGTAACATAATCACTAGCGTGTTGCGGCTGATGTGGCAGTACTAGAACGAGCCAGAGCCATATTGCCGTGCTAGAAGGGGCTGGGAGGAGGAAGTTTTCCTTTTTTTGTGATTTTGGTAGTTCAACCCCTTTTTTGGGCGTCTTATATATACTGTCACCCTCTGCCCAGCGAATGTCTCTCGTTTCCTTCACTTCTTCGTCCATGTTCATGTACAGTACTTATGTACCTATGTACTTCACGTACTTGTATACTTACTTAGCTAGCTGCCCAGCCGCCCAGCTACTCAGCTACACAGCTTCGCCGTAAGCTACTGAATGAGCTAGCTACAAGCGACAAAACGTCTCGACAGCCTGGCGCGTCTCCTCCTTTGTCTCCTTGACCAACCCACTAACAGCCTTGAACTTGTCGTCCTTGGCGTCACCGAGCAACTCGAACAGCAGGCTCTCGCTCGTGGTGACGATGGCACCTTCGCGCGCTAGCCGGTGCAGGGCGACGGGTCTCTCGCCGGCGTTGCAAGACGAGACGCCATCGGCGATGACGTAGACCTTGTGGCCTGCGGCGAGGAGGTCGAGGGTCGTCTGCGTGACGCAGATGTGCGTCTCGATGCCAACGATCAGCACGGAGAGCTTGTCGCTGGGCGAAGAGGTCAGGGACTGCAGGTGCGTCTGCAGCGCGGGGACGAGCATCGAAAACGCCGTCTTGTCGATCGCCTCGGGCGTGGTCTCGGGAATGAGCGAGGTGAGTTCCGGGACGGTGGCGCCGAGGCGCGAGGCGTTTTGCGTCGTGACGAAAACGGGGATGTTGAGGATTTTGGCTGTTTAGATAGATTAGCTTTGCTTAAGACACCCCCGGTCGGGGAACCCGGTGGTGGATGAAATGTCTTGATCTTTTCCTTACCTGCTTTAACCAGCTTCTGACTCGTGGCTACCCTATTTATCCATGTCGCGTATCAGTGTGAGCAACGAACACCCAAAAGGGTAACACACGAATGTATAAGGGGGGAGGAGTTTCAGAGACATACACTTTGGGAAATTCCCAGATGGCATTGCGGAATTTCTCCTGAATGTCGCAGATACTGTATGCAAAGGTCAGCGAGAAAATCCGACATTCTTAGGCATCAATGCGATGAGCTCGATGTAATAGGCGCCATTGGACTACTCAACAGAATGAGCCTCGAAGAAGAATGGTTAGGGGAAGTATTTGGATCTCCTGATGTCGACAAAGACATCTAGATATCTGCGCGGGTAGGTCATATATGTATGCACATGCACATGCACATCCCGAGTTGGATGGACTGGACTGGACTGGAAAAGATGAAGAAACGTACAACAAAACCGGATTCGCTGTAAATGTGCCCCGTAGGCAATTCCATGTCAGCAGAGAGTACCAACGAAGCATAAAATGCAACGGGGAGGTTCATTCGTTCACTCGACTCAATCAACCAAATTCAGTCGTCCCGCTCGTGCCCCTCATGGATACATCATCATCATCATCGTCATCATCATCAGCAGCCAAGATATAGACGCCAGCTGTCTGTCCGCAGAGTAGACGTGCTCCAAATCCAGGCGATAAACTGCGACGAAATGGTGGAGGGGAACACAAAAGAAGCAGACACGCAGACAGAAAAACTGACCAATTCGTTTACTGTTGACCGACATCTTTCTTCCTAACCGTCTCACTCTAGGGCCTGTGGCTGGTCTATGTCTCCCAGGTGGCTTGACTTGAGCCGCTTGATGGCCTCGATGAAAATCCGCAGAGGCAAAAAAAAAAAGCTCAGAGCGACCTTGGCCTCTCGTGGTGGTGGTGGTGATGGTGGCGATAAAAGGAAACGTCGAGATTATGGAATCGCAGCAAACGTGAAGAATAAGGATCTCTAGGACAGACAGGGACTCGGTCGTAATAGATACCGTTATGGTATGGCTATGCTATGTCGTTGCGACTATTCAATAATCAAATAGAAGTGTGTTCAAGGTCTTCTATGGTGTCGGTGAAAATCGGGCAAACGGGACAAGTTGGAGCGGCAAATCAAATTCCCACGGTGTTACGGCGTCACGGCGTGTGGGGGAGACACTCTATGCACTGGAGGCACTGCACGCACACTGAACACAGCCTTATGCATGCTGTATCCTATCAATATCTGCATTACTTTTGCCTTTTGCAAGATTGGCCTCGTGCGAGGCTCTTCTGGAATCTATCTGCTCTGCAGGTCTTACCTCTCACACCACTCGAGGCGACAAGGCTCTGCAGACCATGGCTTAGAATACACGTCGACGTCAAGTGAAGCCCGTTCTTGAAACCAACCAGCTCCATCCTAGCTCCATCCGAGCTCCATCCCAGCTCCTGGTCCTCCATTACCATCATCATCATGGCGTCAAACCGGGCTTCATGGCCTTCTCAGTTGAACATCAATAATCCTGGGTCAAGGTGAGAAGTCTTCTGTGGATCCTCAACTCAACTGTTCGCTGTTGTTCTACGTTGTGGCCCCGAATTCAACCAACCAAATGCAGTACCAGAGCCAATTGGGTTGGTCCGTGTTGTCGTGGTTGATGGGGTTCCTTTTGATTCTCCGCCTGAATCTGCTTGAGCTGCAGCCTTTCCAGTGTCACTCACCGTTGCCTGAGCAACTTCGCCGCCATTCGTGCTGGTTGCCGAGCCCGAGGTGGTTCTCGTCGCATTAGCCATTGTCTTGGTGGGTCGCAAAATCTTCATGGGTCGCTGCGTGTGAGGTCGGGCATAACTGGACGAAGTCTTGGAGCTCGCATCGTTCGCGGTGCTAGACGATCCAGAACGCCAAGAGTTGGACCACACCCCGGGACCAGATTTCGACATTGTTGCGGTGAATGACTTCTCACTCCCGGTAGTGGACTTGCTGTCGTCGGCAGGCCTTGGCTGAGTCATATCTAGGCTGCGTCGTGTCAATTGATCCAGGGGCGGATCTGCTCTGCGCACATCTCCCGGTTCGGACGGGTTGGCCGATGGCAAGCTACTGGACTGAGCTGCTGTGGGCGACGCTGTATTCTGCGCCGTGTTGAGTCTTTCTGGTTGACCAATGACGCCGACTGGTGACGCTGGAGGTGGCAGAGCTTCCCCTATTGACGACGATCGATGTCGAGAGACGGTGCACAGATCCTTGAAACAGGCATCGTCTTCCGGTCTGCAGAAGGGAATCGAGACCTGATTTCGTTCCTCGTCAAAAATCATCACCTTATCCTGGGAGAACAAAATGTCGGCGTTATGTGATCTCAGAACATCACTACCTAGAATGATCTGGATCGTTGGATCGGTCACCGTCTGTTCGTCGACCACAAACTTGACCATTAGAGTAGGGACGGGTGGGACAGGACTGGCTGATCTGACGGCGGCAGGGCTGTGGATCTTGGCTTCGGTCAGATACACGGGAAGTCGGATAGAGCGAGAGCTCCCCTCCCCAAAGATAGACTCTGTCAGTTCAAGTTTGCATAACAATGAGTAGCTGACAGATGAAATCGTCGACCCTGTGCACATGGCGGCGTAGAGCAATGAGCTGTTGGAAAAGGATTGTGTTAGCCAGCAACGGATGATGGCTGGGCATGGTCCTAAGATAAAGAAGCCTGGTGGAGGATTGCCTGAAACTCGGGGCGAGTTGTGAATTGAACCAAGTAGGCGACTCTGTTCAAGACCAAAGCTGTTCGTCCGACCGAAGCCAGTAGGTGCAGGTCTCCCATCCGACCGATGTGAAAGAGATCTTTCCGAGAGTGCATGGCCACCAAGTCCACTGCCTGTACGTGCGGGTAATTCCATCGACTGTCTCGAGGAGCCATAGTGGTTGTTGGCACTCTCGTCAAACCGTACCGAGTTGGCTCTTGACGCAGCCACTCTGCGGGAGTCGTCGGTTGGGTCCAAGGTCAAGGAGCTGATCATAGGATCGGCATCAAAATTTCGAAAGGCTTCAGCAGCGGGGTTGAGGGTCGATTCTAAGGACGAGCATTAGTACGAGAGGTTTCCTAGCGGGGATCGGCTTACCATGATGTGAACCAAGAGGAAAGGGGGAGCTCGCGCCCCACAGGCTTCGAGGTCTGCTGCCATCGGGAATCTTCTGCTCCAAACGCATGATGCGATCAGAGTGGGCAGCTTGGGTTGCAGAGAGATCGTTCAGCGTCTCTTGAATGCGCCACAATTCGTCTCTCGTGGCGAACTCGCGGGTGTCCATAGCAAACAAGCTCAATCAAACTCCCAAAGGCATAAGCTCAGTAGGAAGCCGAAAAGTAGGGACCGTACTATGCATAGGCAGACACTTGACACGATCCTGGGCGGGGACGCAGGTCTCGTAGAGCGCGGAGAGAAGACGGTAGCCACACCACCAAGCTACAATGCTCTCCTGGCTTGCGCCAGCCTGGCCAAACCCTTCCACCAGCCGGTATGTATTGGCGCAGGCTCTTTACTGTCTCATCGGTTGGTTGCTTTAGGGAGATCCAATATTAGCCCGACGTGGATGGAGCGGAGAAAGGAAGGTTAAAGAATGCGCCGGAGTTTGCACAAGGAGGAGATCAGGCTGTCCGATGGTGTTCGTGAAGCAGGATGCCCAGAATCCGTAGACGAGTTCACCGAGCTGAGACGGAACACAACGAGGGGTGGGGTGGACTGCGCAGACGCGGACCGAGAAAGAGATGAATGTTGGACTAGGAATGGATGTAGGATGCGGAAAGAGTTTTGCAGAGGATCTGACGGCGTTGGAGCCTTGTGCACGTAGCTTTGCAGCGTGTCTCAAACAGGTCAGTAGTGAAAGATAGAGACTTGGTGCGTAAGAGAGTGATAACTCAAAGACCGTGTCTTGGTTTTGAGAGAGACAAACAGCCGTGTTGTAATTCTGGGGCAACGACGACTGTGAATGTCTGCATCTGCATTCCACACGTCGTATGACGCACCGTAAGGTCGCCAAGCGGATTGGCCGTTGCACTGTATATCCGCTTGTGCCACCGTATAGTTATTCGCCACGTGATGGACACGTGCTGCACGTGGCGAGATAGTGGAGCAAGAAAAAGGGGCGGAGTGATGGAGGTAGTCGGACATTCATATAAACGCCAGAGGTGAACACATGCTCAATGCTAGTATCAAGCCCCATCAATGAATCAACGAGTTTCCGTCAAAATCATCAAGGTCGTCCTGTAGCGGCATCACTACCTTTTCAAAGATGGCAATTTGCAGCGCTTGGTTGTCAAGTTGATCTCCATCAGGGCCAGACCAGAGGAGACACATTTTCACGACCTCACAATAGCGATCCCCACTTCTATCCTGCACAAACTTCAAGACCCGAAGCGCAGTTTTGAGGTTAGCTACGGCCTCGATGGGATCGTGGTCTTCGGGCTCGTACAGAGCTTCAAGAGGCTGTCCAAGGGAAAGCTCAACCAGGGCCAGACCAAGTGGGAAAAGAACATTGCTTCTGATAAGCGCCGAACTGGTGCGTTTACCCGGCGTCTTGGTCTCGGCTCTCAATGCGGCCTGAACGAGAGCCTGAGAAAGATATGGAAGACTGATCATGTTGCTCGAATAATAGTCTGCTTGTGACTGCAGCAGGATATCTTCAAGCCCCCATTGCGGTTTCAGCCAACTGCCGTAGAGCTGGAAAACGCCCGAGGCTAAAATGGCTGCGAGATATCGTCGATTGCGTTGACTGATGGGCGACAGTGGAATGCCACCCAGCTGCGGAGACAAAGAACGGTCCGCGAGAATGCTTTTGATGGACCGAGTGGATTGATCCGATGGGAGTTTCCTAACGATATAAATATCGTGTCGCCGCCTATTGGGCTCATCGATGAGGAACCCAAGATGTTCACGCCTCGCCTCTTGTGAACAGAGTTGGAGGGCGTTGCAGATATCACGAAGCTGTTGACTGGGATCACCCTCTTTCGGCCGCGGGATGGTTTCCAGGGTTGACTTGACAATACTGAAATGGACGCCTTTGGAATCATGGCTCTTTGAAGTTCCCGAAATTTGCGTCTGCACGGATATTTGGGGTGCCGCGCAATCAGCATCGTCTTGCAGGTCGGCTGCTTCAATCTCGACTTCTTCGCCTGCCGTCAAGACTTCGACCTCGCCACCTTCAGGGTACGAGAATCGATGAACGACAAACTTGGATCTCGTCCGCGCGCCTTTTGATTCTCCAGGGTTGCGTTTGTGTGGCGGGTTCTCCAGACGCAGCTTTAGAATGTGTCTTGCTCTACAGGGACAATTCCAGCAATTGCCACAAACAAAGGTGTCGTATACGCTGCGAGCATGCCGTCTGATCCTAGCATAGTCTTGCAATAACCCTCGGCTCTGCCAACGGGTTTTCCGAGTCTCGGCCAGTTCATGAACTTGTTCGGTGATGATGGAGAGAGTCTGGTTTGCGGTTCTGATCTTGCTGAGAAGAGCTTCATACACTCCCTTGGAGAGGATGTCATTGAACCTTTTAAAATTGCTCATCGTGCTCGAAGGGGTTGAGCTGGTAGTCAGCTTCTCCTTCAGCCGGTTGAGGAGGTAGGCGAGCTCGGTCATTGTCGCCATATACGCCCCGTAGCTATTCTTCATCATTCTCTGAAGCTCTGCGTTGTACTCGCTGCGTCTCCAGAGCGCACTGTCCGGATCCTGCAGCAAGGTCGCTATGTCTTCCTCGTCGTGCACTATCTGGACAAGTACTCTTTCCAAGGTATTCTGAAATATGGTGCCCTCTGTGCTGAGACCATCTTGATATCGTCTAACTTCTCTTCGATATCGGCGGGTTGATATTATGGACATGATGGTGTCGACGCCTTCTCGATACTCGCCGATGAGGCTAACAACAATGGGCAGTGCCCCAAGTACAAGACCAGCAATCTCGAGGCCTGACATTGTCGTACATGAGAAAGAAGAGCCCAAAAGAGGTTTTCCGGAAGGAGGATAACATGACCACCATGAGGCACAGACATCAAGAGGTAAGTAAGTCGCCTGCGTTTGGGGGCCAGAAGAAACTCCCCGCGACACCGCCACCAGCCGCGGGCCGAAACCCCCACTACCACAACCTTCTAGCCAGTCACGCCAGTAATCATCTCTCACAAGTGATGCAGAATAGCGTTCTAACCGCTGATCAAGCCTTGCTAAAACTTTAGGTGATTATGAGAGATGTTCCAGGTTCTCGCCTCCGGTTTCAGCCTCCTAGGCCTCCTTTGCCCCTCACATCCGAAGCCTCCTCTCATCCTAGATACGCTCTGCATCCTATATTTTGTCCTCGAGTCGGTCACCAATATTTCTCCAATCATGGAGTCGACAGTAATTGGGTTGTTACGGTCGATGTGGTACAAAGCCAATTGAGCCTGATGCTAATTGGGTCAAACTAGATCGACGGGATAGTCTGAGACACGATGGACGCGAATTCTATATCGGCAGAGTTGCTGGAATGCCTAAAGATATTCAACGCCCTTTTGGCAAGAGACGAACTTTTCGGCCCGTCTGGCATACCAAAACATATCTGGAATGACGAGCTTGGACGACTTAGGATATGGGCTGCAAACATTGGTGCTCATAAGAAAGACCAGTCCTCTCTAGATTACCGACTCAGAAACGCCTCGCATGTCAAATCACAGATTATCAACTTGCTGCAGAGCCTGAAGATGACGCTTCAAGACCTGGAGGAAGTTCTAGTGGAGGTCAATGAGAAACACTCTGCCACAGAAGAAGGAACTGAAGACGATGAAGGAAAGGCAGAGGTTGCAGAGATATTCGACGACCTGGTACAAGTCGTCACAAACCTCTACCGATTGTCCATTCTTGTACGACAGCCATCGCAGCGAGACCGGTTTCTTCGATACCGAAAAGACGACGCGGTCGGATACGAACAATTTGACCGGAATCATGTCCAGGAAAAGTTTCGTGATGCCGACCCCAGAGTGATAGACAGACTCGGGACAGCCATTTCGAACAGACGCCGACATCTCAAGGCGCTGGAGCGGCACAGGGCCAAACTGGGAAAAGGTATCAGCCACGCTCATGTGGAAGATCATGACGGGGTGTCCACCGTGATGTCGGGAACTTTGGCCACTGAATACGAGGAGACAGGTGCAGTTGCAAGGCTCGAGGCTACTTCTGTAAGTGGTGAGTCCACGACATCATATGCTGCATCGTTTCTGTCCGGAAAGAGGAATATGCAGGTCCCTCCGCCGCCTGTCGGGTATGGTAGCGACGAGCCGTTTGAATGTCCATATTGCTTCTTCATCACGACGATAACGAGCAGAAAGTCTTGGGCACGCCACGTCTTCCGGGACCTGATGCCATATGTCTGCATTTTCCCTGACTGCACAACACCGAATCAGATGTATAACAGCCAACGGAACTGGTCCTTACATTTACAGACACATGGCCATGATCCGGCCAACCCCTCATCATTAGCGGTGGGTTTCTGCCAGTTGTGCCACAAAGGCGACATTCCTTCCAAAGCATACGAACGCCATGTCGCCGAGCACCTGGAGGAACTGGCTCTGTTCGCACTGCCACGTACCATGCAGGTTGAGGATGAAGATGATGACGAAGATGATGACGAACAGCAGGCGCGTCCAGGCATGGCCAATAGCAGATCCTCTGGTCAGGTCGATGATGAAGATTTGCTACGGAGAGATTCTATAGATTCTACCGAAGAGTTTTGGTCGAGGTCCGTACACCACCACGACGAAAACCTACGAAAGCACATTCACGACGTACTTAGTTCGGAGGCACTTGGTTCGGAGCCATCCTCCCTTCTGAAACGTCTATACGCTGGGGCGACAGTTGATTGGAGGACCCCAAATGAAGGGGAAGCAGCTGAAACTGAAACCAAGTACGCTGAGGAGATAATTGATCCGAGGAATCAGAGTGGAGAGGAAGCAATGAAGCAGGGTTGGAAGCCACTCAGCCTCCTGGAACGTCTGAGACGAGGAGCAAAGAAGGCAGGCCTAGATGGTACAACGCAGGTTGAAGATCAACAGATCCCAGGAGGACCGACTACGAGCGAACAACCGGATATACGAAAAGCGATTCCCCCTCCCAAGAAGCCGAGAGCTTCCATCCACCTGATCACCGAGGATGGGCAAGAACACGAACTCGAGTGGGAGCGATGTTATACCTTTGGTGTAAGTCACTTTCTACTGGCAAATCTTGTGAAATGCTGACTTGTGCAAGGGTATGGAGGCTTCGATCATCCGAAGGTTTGGGGCCCAAGACGCATTATCACGCAACATGGTGAAAGGTCGATGCCAGTTCATCGGCCCGGATAATTGTGTTATTTCCCCCAAGGCGTGGACGGCGACGGTCAAGCCAGACATGACAATTAGGATTGTAGTGTTGCAAGGACCCTCAAGGGCAAGCGACGCACGTCCGACTGCAGCGGCATGGAGCGACCTCACCAGCGACGAATGAAATTCCGGCGGTGCCAACTTGCAGAGAGACGGCAAATCAGGTCATCGAGGAGGATAGCGAGCTGTCCAATAGTTGACAGCCAACCGGATCAAGAGTTGTACAGGGGCGAGTTCGGCAGCGACCGAGGTACGGAGATGAGTTGCTCTAGACCAGCTTCCCCGAAGGCCAGAACTTTAAGAACAGCCAATGTGGAGGATCTGTTCCTACCAGTAAGTCCAAGACTACCTTATCTCAGTCCACTTTGTCCTTTTGGTTCTTTGCCGCCGTCCGTAGCCGTGGGGAAGCGGATGTACATGGTCCTGTTCAAGGAATAAGTCCATCAAGCTCACCGGGAATTAGGTAGTATTTCTTTCCCTTACGACTTCTCAATCGGTGGTTTGCACGGACCCAGTCAAGCCAATACGACTCCTCAATCAGCCAACGTTACACTTGGTGACTTGCTCTCTAATTAACCAGCCGAGCCAAGACCCCGGAATGGGCCGATCTGCGCCTTGGCAGCGGAAGATCTGGAGTCGAAGGAAGCATTAGAAGCCATCGAAGCCATAGAAGCTGCTTTTTTTTCTAGCCACCCACCACCCCCCCAGCATCCCAGCCAAGTGGCAAAACCATTGGTGCTGTTGTCGCTGATATCGCCTCTCCTTTTTCTTTTGACGCCATCGGCCTGTCCGCACTACCACCACCTTCCCCTGTCAACGCCTCTCTCATCGAGATGGATGTGCAAAGAAGGTCTGGGCCAAGCTATTTCAGCACCATGCCCGCTCGGTATGACACCATATTCCGTCCGGCAAACAAGCGATCTTGTGGTGGTACTCGGTAGGTCTTACAGCCACTATCAGGATCATCCTATGATAAGGTGGAACGACAGGAAAAAGAACTGTTTAAGGGCCTTCAAGCTCAGGCATGGGCACCTTGGTCCGCAAGCTTGGCCCTTGCACCAATCGTTGTCAACTTGTCAAATAAGCCCGCGTGACAATGACAATCCTCCCACTGATCCTTCCAGCTTGACTCCGCTGCGCCCAAGAAAATTGATCCATGTCGCCAAGGCCTTGGGATGCATCACTATTGTGCCACGCTGGGCCTCATTGATAACAATCAACGACACCTTCCTCATTTGGCCGCTTGCTCCGGATCTATGCTCTACTGATGTGCAAGTGAGTGCTTTCGATGGCGAAATGGGATCATGGGATCGAGATATATATCGGTGCAGTGACGACCCTATGCTTCACTGCAACCCCTGCGCAGAGAATACTCTTGCTCCCATCAATATCAATAACTACTTGCCAGTATGAGCGCAATCGCATCCAACGAGGCCCCCATCATTGCCCAGGCTCAGGTAGATGGGGCTGCCCTGGCCGGCACAGCGACGGAGAAGCGCCTGGGTCGTGGTTCCATCGACGTGACCTCTTTTCAGGACACTCACTCTTCAGATGACGACGAGGTGACAGAGGCCGACCTTCACACTCTTCGGCGAGTCTCAGGGAAGATCCCTTGGCCTGCGTTCACCGTCGCCTTTGTCGAGTTGTGCGAGCGATTCTCCTACTATGGCACGACTGTCGTCTGTAAGTTGCCGTCACTGGCTCCTCGACCATGAGACCGTCTCTGACTCAAATTCAGTTGTCAATTTTATTCAGCAACCTCTCCCTGAAGGCTCAACGACCGGTGCCGGTCATTCTGGCCAGTCTGGTGCGCTGGGAATGGGCCAGCGAGCGTCGACGGGCCTCGTGACCTTTAACCAATTTTGGGCATATGTGATGCCGTTGCTGGGCGCGTGAGTACCCTTTGGGATGAAATACCATCGATTGCAACAAAATTGCGTTCTTGTCGTGCGGTGTTGACAAAGACGTGCAGATACATCGCCGATGCTCACTGGGGTCGCTACAAAACCATCCATGGCGCCATTGTCTGTGCAATTATAGGCCATGTCATCTTGACAGCTTCGGCAGCTCCCAGCGTCATTTCCCATGGCAGCTCTGCGCTTGCCGCTTTCACCATTGGTCTCATCATTCTGGGTGTTGGAACTGGTGGCTTCAAGTCCAACATCGCTCCACTGTTGGCCGAACAACAAACCGAGACCAAGAAGAGGATCAAAGTGCTCGCTTCGGGAGAACGGGTCATTGTCGATCCCACCGTGACGACGTCTCGAATCTTCCTATACTTCTATCTCTGCATCAACATTGGTTCACTGGTCGGACAAATCGTAAGTCCTCCTTGCTCGCGCTGCCCTCCGTCCAGAAACGTTCAGTTGTGTTTCCAGCCAGGTCTATCCGATGCTAACGCCCACTCTATAGGGCATGGTTTACTGCGAGAAATATGTCGGTTTCTGGCTCGCCTACATGCTTCCCACATGTTTGTTCTTGTTTGCTCCCATTGTGCTCATGGTCTGCCGCAAGCGATACGTTTTGACTCCCCCTACCGGCTCGGTGGTGGCAAAGTTCTGGCACCTGTGGATCTATGCATCCAAGGGCCGATGGAGCATCAACCCCGTCACCGCGTACAAGAACCTGTCGGCTCCGGATTTCTGGGAGCGCGTCAAGCCGTCAAACATCCCCGCCGCTGAACGACCCGCATGGATGACGTTCGACGACGCCTGGGTTGAAGAAATCCGCCGTGGTCTCAAGGCGTGTGCCGTCTTTTTGTACCTGCCTCTTTACTGGCTTGCGTATGGCCAAATGACAGGCAATCTCACCTCTCAAGCTGCGTAAGTGCCACTCCTGAAAAGTACAGCGATTGACCTTGGACTTACACACAATCTAGTGTTATGGAACTCAATGGCGTCCCCAACGAGTAAGTCTCTCCCTAAGGACCTGCAGAGGCCTTTACTATTTATGTATACCGTTCACTGGGGCTAACCATTTAACAGCATCATCCAAAACCTGAACCCCATCTCCATCATCATCTTCATCCCCTTGATGGATTTCATCATCTACCCGGCCCTCCGCAAAGCACGCATCAACTTCACCCCGATCAAGCGTATCGCGTTCGGCTTCGCGCTCGCCAGTCTTGCCATGGTTTCCGCCTGCGTCATCCAAGTGTACATCTACCGCATGTCGCCGTGCGGCCACCACGCCTCTGACCCAGACTGCTCCGGCCCGGCGCCCATCAACGTGTGGGTTCAGACGGTGCCGTACGTGCTGATCGGCTTCTCCGAGATCATGGCCAGCATCACATCGCTCGAGTACGCCTTCACCAAGGCGCCGTACAACATGCGCAGCTTCGTCATGGCCATCAACCTCCTGATGAACGCCTTCTCCAGCGCCATCGCCCAGGGCCTCGTCGCCCTGTCTGCCGACCCGCTCCTCGTGTGGAACTACGGCGTCGTCGCCGTCCTGGCCGGCGTCGGCGGCATCCTGTTCTGGCTCAACTTCAAGAAACTCGACAGCGAAGAAGACAAGCTCAATATGTTGCAGGCAAGCTCGTACGTCGGCAAGAGGAAGAGCATCGCCAGCGTGAGTGGACCGTCGACGCAGGACACGTTGGAAGAGAAGGACCACGCTTGAGTGAGTGAGAGAGAGATATATATATATACCCATGAAATAGGCTCGTGAGTGAGGGGCACTGGTGTGTGGCGTGTGGCATGTGAAGTGTGGCGCGTTGGATACGTCTCAGAGCAGAGAACAAATACCAGATACCCAGATACCCAGATACCCAGCCCCGAAAAATATCAAAAAAGATATATATAAGCAAGACATTGGAAGGGATATGTCGACGACGACGACGATTACGACGACGGACGATGTTGCTCATGTTGCTGATGAGAGAATTATAACGTATGTTTATTCATCTAATTTTCGTTTCATTTGATTTGATCTGATGCATTTGTATCATGCGTATTGCAACCTCGCTCGCGCTTGATTGGGGTCTCTCTTCTCGGCCCTTTTTTTCCCCGGGCCCCAGTGTATACTCTCAATATAACCTGTATGTACCGTAACGCGTACATCGTTGTCTAGGTGTTATATATGTGCTACGTATGTACACTGTATGTACGGTGTACGGCCGCTTTCAGAGCAGAACCCTGCTAAGGCTGTAGAGGGCGACAATTCAGTGATTACTTAGCCTGCAAGACAATGGCATACAAGGAGATGGAGAGAGAGGGAGTGAGGAAGAAAAGGCAATGTAATACTCAAACCCGTCACGCTCGTTGTTTCTAGCCCAAGACATGCATAAATTCATTACACCCAACCCCGATGCCCATATCCATAAAACAGCTTGCTAGCCCAGCCCAGCCCATCCCATCCCAGCATGGCCCAGCACAGCACAGCATGCCCACCCATCCAGCCTGGCGCCTTATCTCACTCCATTCCCGCGCCGCTGGCTCCTAATGCACAACTCGGTAACAAATATCATAGTCCGCTGGTAAACAGGCACTTTTTGACCAGTAAACTGATGTGGACGGTCCCCTCCTTGAACTCATTCAGCATTCCACATTCAACATTCCTCAGATGCATCGTCCACTCTTCAAAGTCATGGTATCAATGATATCCATTCGTTCTGGTCACGCCGGGCCCGCGCTGGGAGTAGGCAGCCGAGCCGGCCGCAAAGTATGGATGATTACATGCCGCCTTAGCCGAAATACGATGTGCAGGGTCGTACTCGAGCATCGCATCTAGCAATTCAAGACCGGCAGGCTCCAGGTTAGGGACGAATTTAGAGGTCGGTTCTCGGCGCCACTTGGGAAAGGAAGTTTTGAAGTCGGGGAAAGATGTGACACCGGGCCAAGTAGTTTCGTCCGGGGTGCCGAGCAGTCTATTTTGTGTTAGCAGAAACACGATGTCGAGGAGCGTTGTGCAGAGGGAAGCTCACTTGAAGATTTTGAAGATTTCATCGATTTCAGAGTCGCCGGGGAATAGAGGCTTGCGGGTACACATTTCAGCGAAGATAGCGCCGACAGACCACATGTCTACACCGGTGGAGTATTGTCGTCCACCGAGAAGAATCTCTGGGGCGCGATACCATAGTGTCACAACCTGGGAATCCAGTCAGTCGCCGCAGTAGATAAGGTG